TAGTTGGACGAATCTTATTGTGGCTAGCTGGTCTAGTGGCTAACGCGACGGTCTGGAGTTTTGAGACTCTCTAACCGCGGGTTCAATCCCGGCTGGGGTATGGTTTGTTTGCAATCGTGTCATTACGATTTCGTGAGTCATGTTGACGGCAGTGAGGGGACTTGAGCTAGAGTTCGTCACGGCCACACTACCTGGAGATTCGTCTGTAAAAACTTGCATTTGTGGTCACAGTGGTGCCTGTGCTAACCTTCCTATGGTGTAGAAATATACCTAGTTGGACGAATCTTATTGTGGCTAGCTGGTCTAGTGGCTAACGCGACGGTCTGGAGTTTTGAGAGACTCTAACCACAGGTTCAATCCCGGCCGGGGTATGGTTTGTTTGCAATCGTGTCATTACGATTTCATGAGTCATGTTAACCCTTAAACTGTCCAAACGTAGATCTATGTTCACTCACGCAGCGCTCCGATTTTTTTTTTTTTTTAGGGAAATTTTGTGTATTATGAGACAAAAAAAAATATTTAGGACCAGAACTTATTGAAATACAAGACCGCGAAGTTGGCGCTGGATGCTCACCTGACAGCAACATGGAGTCCTGCCGCCTGCAGAAGTGTTGCTGATGTACCTTTTTTTTCTAGTTTTTATTTTAATTTATATAATTTTTATGTTCTGATAATTACAGTTTATAATAGTTCTGGTGATTTCATAGCCAATCTTTGTTCGGACACTAATATTAGATACTGAAATAATACTCAAATAGTCACAATCACACCAACAGGTGAATATTTTCACCTGCCTCGGTCATTTACTATTGTCTAGAAATATGTACAAAGTATTTATAGGTCTTAGCAATGTTTTAGACATGCTGGAGTATACATATGAAACTTCTTGAAGCATGGTGTGTATGATGAGTCACTAAACTGCGGACAGGGTAAGCAGTGGAGTGACACTTGATGATAAAGCACTGCTGCAGGGAACCCTGGCAGTATTTGTTTTCACTGTTACACACAAACTTGTCTGTCTGTCTAGCTCTGCTTATCTGTCTTTCTGTCTGCCTGTGTGTGTGCGTCTTTATGTCTGCTTGTCTCTCAGTCTTAGAGAGCGGCTCATAAACCAACAGGTATTACACAACGCAGAAGTGACAGTGCTTATTATGTCTTATATCTACAAGCACTGTATAGCACTTTGCCTGGAATTTTTGGGTTATCCTAGGTAATTTACACTATGTATTATAACTGTACTTATGTGTACATATGAGAGACAGAGATAGAGACAGATACAGACAAACAGCCAAAGCCAGCCGGCCAGCCTGCCAAACACGTATTACACGTTCCAGAATCATTTCTCTGTACTTAGGGCATAGTTTATAGTACATTCTAGCAGGATGACACTACCACTGGTATCAAAAATGAAAGGATGTTGCACAAATGTTATACATGGGTTATTATTGAGGTTTTTGATATTTCTTTGACCACTTGTGGCCACATCCATCACTTTCCTCTTAAAAAGGGAGTGTTAATATGACATAACATCAGTGAATCCCTGGTGTTTGCCATGCTATTTGCTCTAGCTGGCGCTCGATTGAACTGGTGCTCCCAGAAGGTACTAAGTGTTCCCAGATTTTTTTAATACTGCATACACCAAGTGCTAAGACCCATTCTGTACTGACTGGAAGGGGCTGGAAGGTATTCAGGCTTAATTTAGGGAACTGGAGCACAGATCCAATTCCCTTCACCAGCATCAAGGAACCTCCCTTGGGGGGAAGCTCGCTCGTAACTCGGATTTTGCCTCATAACCCAGAGCAAAAAATCGATCGAGTGACGGCTCGTATCTTGAAAAACTCATATGTTGGGGCACTTGTAAGTCAAGGTCCCACTGTATTATCATTGGCTTGCATCTCTTTGCCTAGAAAATTCTAGTTATCCAGCCTACCATTTTCCTTGTGGTAGCAATAGCAACATTGTTGTGATACATGAATAAGAGATCTTCTGACACCATCATCCCCAAAATTTTGCACATGGAGCTTTAGCTCTATTTGAGTTTGTCCTGTACTCTGTTTCAGTTCTTATTTCCTCCATTCTCCCATAATGGAGAAACTGAAACTTGTTGCCATTGATCATCATATTGTCTGAGGTACACTGAATAAACTTGATTTATATCTGCTCAAAGATTTGCTGTCTTTAACAGATGCCATTCACATTGAGATTTTGGTGTTATTAGTGCTGTGATATATGTTCTTGTATATGTTAGATATAAGAACGAGAAATGAGTGGGGTGAGTGCTTTACCTTGAAAAACAAAGCTTTTCACTGAGGCAACCTCAGACTTCATTCTGTTTATCACTACTCTCTGGGTTCTGTTTGGAAATCAGATATTCATCTGTCCACTTCACCAGTTTTTCCTCTTGTACTTATTCTGTTTATCACATGTTGATCGTACTTCTTGAAGGCTTTTGCAAATTGTATTGCATCAGCATTTAGCTTGTGTTCCAGTGCATCTGAGACCATGTCATAATGATCTAGCAGTTGTGAAAAGCAAGAGCAACCTGCTCTAAACTCATACTGCACTGGATTATGCAGTTTATGAGATTCCATGTGATTGGTGTTCTTACTTCTTAGGACTCATTCAGTGATTTCGATAATGTGTGAAATTTAGCGATATTTGTTGTCTGTATTTTTTTGTGCTTGCTTTACTGCTACTTTTGTGAAGTGGGGCCATATTGGTAGCTTCTAATGACTGTGGGATGTCACCTTTGTCTAGGTTCCTCTGTAGAATACTAAATACCTGAAAGTTTTTTATAGTGATTTCATACATTAAAATTTTTTTGAGGAACTGGTCCCACAAGAGGCTTGGCAGATGGTGCAAAATACTGAAATGAAAACCAGGGGTGCAGTGAGTATATTAAGAGATATCTCAAGAAGTGTACAGGGACCAAGTCTCTTCAGCACCATTCCTTCATGCATTAGGGAAATTACCACTGAACCCTTGCTGTCTTTAGAAAGGAACTGAATAATTTCCTCAGTCATTTTGGGGTTACAATTTCACTACTATCGGAGCCTGGCCTTGGGCCAGGCTCGTCTGCTGCTTGCCTGGCAGGCTGTTGCTGCTGGAGGCCCACTGCCCCACATAGCCTGGTTGAAGATACTTGTCCAGTTTCCTATTGAAGGCTTCTACACTTGTTCCAGCTGTATTTCTGATATCTTCTGGTAAGATGTTGAATAGTCTGGGACCCCGGATGTTGATATAGTGTTCCCTCATTGTCCCCACCTCACCCGTACTCCGTGTTGGGTTTATTTTGCACTTCCTCCCATATCTCTCACTCCAGTATGTTGCTATGGCAGTGTGCAGATTTGGGACCAGGTCTTCAAGTACTTTCCAGGTATATGTTATCATGTATCTCTCTCTCTCCCGCTCCAATGAGTACATGTTCAAGACTTGAAGGTGGGCCCAGTAATTTAGGTGCTTACTGGCTCAGTGTGAGCCGTAAAAAATCTCTATTTGTTCCAGGTCTGATATTTCCCTTGCTCTGAATGGGGGCCATCAGCACAGCAATATTCTAAATGAGGGAGTACTAGAGAGTTGAAGAGTATCACCATCGGCATTATTTCCCTTGTTTTGAAAGTTCTCAATACCCACCCCGTCACCTTCCTGGCTGTCGTGATCTTTGTCTTGTTATGGTTTTTAAAAGAAAGGTCCGCTGACATAATTATTCCCAAGTCTTTTACGTGTTCCTTTCGTTGTGACCCTCTTGAGTTTTGTTTATAGTGTTCCTTTTGAGTTCTTCATTCTTTCCAGGACAGTGCCTTGGGGCACTGAGCTTTTGACCTTGCTGATGCTAGATCTTGCCCTTTTCACTACTACTGTTTGTGTTCTGTGTGTTAGGAAGCTGAAAATCCATGGCCTTCATGCGCTATCACTCCATGATCACATTTGTCAAGCGCCTTTGCAAAATCTATGTAAATCGCATTTGTGTTTTGGTCATCTTCCAGTGCCTCCATAATTCTGTCATAATGGGTCAGCAGCTGTGACAAGGCATGATTGTTCTGCTCTAAAACCATAATGGTTTGGGTTATGCTGCTTGTGCTGATCCATGAAATTTGTAATCTGCTGTCTCATCACTCTTTCGAAGATTTTTATCATGTGAGAAGTTAGGGCTACTGGTCTGTAATTTTTAGCTAGTGCTCTACTACCTCCCTTATGCAAAGGAGCTATGTCTGCACTCTTTAAGGCTTCTGGTATTTCACCTAGATCTAAGCTCTTTCTCCAAAGAATACTTAGGGCTCGTTCTAGTGGTAGTTTGCACTTCTTTATAAATAGAGCATTACATGAATCTGGTTCAGGTGCTGAGTGAGTGAGCATGTTGTCCATTTTTCAAAATCTATGGGATTTGAACTAATGTCAGTTAGTTGGTCTGCACGGCCTTCTGCTGGAGTGAAAAATATTTTTTTGCATTTTCTACCTTGCTGTTATTTAGTGGGTTGCTGAACACCGACTCGTACTGTTTTTCAGGATTTCACTCATTTACTGTTCATCATCAGTATACGAGTCTCCTGTCAATAATGGTCCAATTCTTCAGGTAGTTCTGAGCTTAGATTTTGCATGGGAATAGAAATATTTTGGGTTTCTTGCAATATCCTGTATGTATCCTGGGCTCATGGTACATATGTTAGTCTATGTATGTCTAATACCAACAGCTTGGTTACTCCAGTCATCAACCAGTAGGCCTAGTCTAGGACCAGGTCATGGGGTAGTAACCCCCAAAATCATCATTGGAGAACCTTTAGGTATCCCACTCCAGACTGAAACAAGCCCTTATTAGCCTCCCTTGCCACAACAGTAAATATTTTAAATTAATTTTTACACTTTTTTAGTAAACTTACAGGTAACTGGATGTTGGACACTATAGGTTATTGGAACAAAATACAGTTTTATATTACATGTATATACTCTATTTCTTTGCTTATTGAAAGTTATAAAACTTGTTATTTATCTTTCTGTTGCAGGTTGATGGCTAAATACTCCAAAAAGCTTGTTAGCAAATGCATCTACCTCAATATTCTACAGGCCACTGAACTTCCTCTGATTGACCTGTGAGTATTTCTATTTTTCTTGTTGGTTATTTTTACTTTATCATAGTGCTGTTTACCTCTTTGTAATTATCTTTACCAAATGTGTCTCATGTCTGGCTCTACTTCTGTTTCTCTTGTTTTATTTTGCTGCTGGTATCTCTCTGTCCTTTATACATGCATCTCTGTTCTGATGATTGCATATTTGTGTTTGGTTCTACCACTTACACCACTCGACTTTGCTGCTTGTATTGTACCATTTTACTGTTTGTAATACTTGGCTTCATTATGTGGAAGACAGGCAATAAGTAGACAGTTGATAAATCAGATACATACATATCAGATACATACACATAAATTAGCTCATGTAGAGACTGAAGTGAGTATATCTGTGCATGTTGGTGCTGAAAAACAAAAGTAGTTTGGTAATATAGCAGAGAGGGGATCAATAGCTCTTTTTCTCTCCCCATCGTAGGCCTCACACATACACCTCTACCTACCCGTTGTGTACATCTCTTGCCCCAGGCACAGTTGTCAGCCATAAAAATACGCAGTAAGCTAAATTTAGTGAACTTTTCGTAGAAATCAAAGCTAAAAGTTGGAGGAAAATATCCACTAAGAGAAACTGTGATAACAAAAGCAGTGAATAAGTGGGATGGAAATAAAATGTTGCTTAAGTAATGGTGGGTGATGACCTACAGTACACCATATACAGTGGACCCTTGGGTAATGGTGGCATCGGCTAACGCCAAAATTGGATAGCGGCACGTTTTTGTGTCAAAATATTGGATTTCCATTATTTGTTTTGGGGAAAATTAATTCGGCTGACGGCAAAATTGGTTAAAGGCAAGCTCTCTGGAACGGATTAATACCGTTACCCGAGGGCTCACTGTATCATCTGCTATAGGTCCACTACCACTCGTCTACCACCACAACATCACATTGCTCAACTACTACTCCCTCCCATAACATCCACCACCACAATCCCACACCAAACCACTACCTCCAAATCCCCCATAAACCTGCAAGATATGGAAAGCTAGGATGTGGATTATCCACTGTGTGAAAGCCACATGGAATATCCTAATTTTATTTCATGTGAGAGTGTTGGATATACAGAACTAGCACATGTTTAATGTGTATTGGTCTCTGTGGGAGACAGAAGTACTGCAGTGCAGAATCACCCTTAACTTTTGCACATGCAAAAAGGACATGGTTATTTTTTTATTTTATTAACACATCAGCTGATTCCCACCAAGGCAGGGTGGCCCAAAAAAGAAAAACTTTCATCATCATTCACTCCATCACTGTCTTGCCAGAGGGGTGCTTTACAGTACAGTTATAAAACTGCAACATCAACACCCCCTCCTTCACAGTGTAGACACTGTAATTCCCATCTCCAGGACTTAAGTCCGGCCTTCCGGTTTCCCTGAATCCCTTCATAAATGTTACTTTGCTCACACTTCAACAGCACGTCAAGTATTAAAAACCACTTGTTTCCATTCACTCCTATCAAATACACTCACGCACGCTTGCTGGAAGTCCAAGCCCCTCGCACACAAAACCTCCTTTACTCCTTCCCTCCAACCCTTCCTAGGCCGACCCCTACCCCGCCTTCCCTCCACAACAGATTTATACACCCTCGAAGTCATTCTGTTTTGTTCCATTCTCTCTACATGTCCGAACCACCTTAACCCCTCCTCAGCCCTCTGAATAATAGTTTTGGTAATCCTACACCTAATTTCCAAACTATGAATTCTCTGCATTATATTTACACCACACATTGTCTGCAGACATGACATCTCCATTGCCTCCAGCCTTCTCCTCATTTCAACATTCATCACCATGCTTCACACCCATACAAGAGTGTTGGTTGTATTCTTAAAGATCACAGAGCCACTGGCCAGCATCCCTACATCAAATAAAGACCCTTTTATGTCTGGCTTTTTGACCTCGCCAAGATCAGTCTGGCATAGGCCACAAAACGAAGACAAGTGATAGAAATGATACCATCGGAGTAACCCATGTTGATGGCTCCCAGTGCTGAAACTGGTGCTGATGGATCCAGAGCTGATACTAGAGGCGTTTGTTATTAGTCCTGTCGCTAGTTCTGGAGATGCTGGTGTTGGTGACCTTGGTGGTTTTAAGAGTTTGTGCAGATGGTCATACTAATGAAGCTGGTGACCACACTGGAGTCAGTGTTGATGCTGTCACTAGATTCTGGCTCTGGTTCTGGTGCTGCTGTTATTGTTGGTTTTGGCTCTGATACCAGTACTGCCATCATTGTTGATTTTGGTTCTTGTACCAGTACTGTTGTCATTGTTGGTTTTAGCTCTGGTACCAGTACTGCCATCATTGTTGGTTTTTGGCTCTGGTACCAGTACTGCTGTCATGGTTGGTTTTGGTTCTGACACCAATACTGCAGTCATTGTTGGTTTTGGCTCTGGTATCAGTACTGCTATCATTGTTAGTTTTGGTTTTGGTACCAGTAGTACTGTCATTGTTGGTTTTGGCTCTGGTACTAGTACAGTAGGGCCCGTTTATATAGCAGATTAGGTTCCAGGTTAGCACCGTAAAGAGAATTGCCCTGTTTTTCACTTTTGACTCTGTCAGGATCAAGACTTCTGATCTCAGACTTGCTCTCAGGGTTGAAGAATTAAAAAAAAAAGTTATTTTTTTTTAAACGATAGAGAATCTTTTTCCAAAGGAAATAAAACTAAAAGTATGAAATTTGTTGGAAAACTTACGGAATTACACTCTCACAGATTTAGCTGTCTCAGCAATATTTACACATTGGCAATTTTGCCCAATTTGAGCCCTATTTTTGGCCAATTCCATTGTTCTAATCTACCAGACTCATGGCTATTTTGCTAGTAGTATTCCTTCTATTGATAGAGTACAAGAAACTGCCCATTTACCTATTTCAACTATCTAATAAAGTGATCAGAAATTGGTAATTTGGCCAATTGCACACATAATTAAAAAATTGTCAGTTTAAAAATAGGGTCCTGAATAAATACTGTAGACATTCCTGGCATTAAAAAAAAATATTCCTGTTTATTAGTTCTGTCCCCAGACCTCTCCTATATTATGCTTACTTTTCATTTTGAATTTTTATTCACAGAAAAAATAGAAGAGTTATTGTTCTGCATTTCTGTAATAATTGCTTAACCCTTTGACTGTCGCAACCCCAAATCCTGAGGTGTCTCCTGGTGTCAAAAATTTTTTGGAAAAAAAAAAATTTCTTATGAAATGATACAGAATCTTTTCCTGATGGTAATTACATAAAAAAAAATGAAATTTGATGGAAAACTATGGAATTACGCTCTCGCGAAGTTAGCGACCTTGGCGATATTTACAAATCGGCGATTTCACCCACTTTGAGCCCTATTTTCAGCTAATTCCATTGTTCCAGTTGACCAAATTCATAGCTATTTCTTTAGAACTCCATTTGTTCTATTGATTGAGTACAAGAAACTGCCCATTTACCAATTTCAATTGCCCAATAGTGTGGTCAGAAATTTGCAACTTGGCCAATTTCATGCAACTTAAAAAATATGCCAATTTCAAAATAGGGTCCAGAATGAACATTGCAGAGATTCCTGGCACAAATACATTTTACTTTGTTCATTCAGTCCATGTTCAGCCCCTTGATATTATTTGCTTTCTGTTTTGAATTTTGACTCAACAAAAATAGAGATTTCTTTATGTAACTTATCATGTGAGAGTTCGATACGTGGATTAGGTAAATACTCACGAGCTGTATACGTATAATTACGTTATGTGGACAGACTTTCCCACCGTACTATCCCTTGTGTACACTCGTAAAAACTGGCAGGCGGCTCGGCCATACCCTAGTGTGTTTTGAAATAGTGTCAGCTCGCACAATATAAGACCGGACTCAAGCGGTTGGCGTTGAGTAAACGGACGTTACTGGTAACTGGTTCACTGAGACTGTAACTGGTTACTACTACTGAGATACCACGTAGTGGTGTTTTGAATAGTTCAGCTCAGCACAATATGAAGACCGATGACTCAAGACGTTGGTCTGTTGAGTCAACGGACGGTTATTAAACTGTTATAAGAATGTAATGTTACTACTACTGAGACTACTGCAATATTGTAAAATTGTATAAATAATGTCAACCCATTAATGACTGCATATTAGAATGGCTAGTTGGACATTTATTGGACAATGACATCGTTTGTTTACTTTTGATCATCGGCAAAAATCAAACATTTCCCATAATTTGAGCTCCATTTCAAGGTTCTTTTCATAGTAAAACCAATCAAAATCATTTCTATTTCTATAATATGTTTTCCATTCTATCAAATGAAACCAAGAAAACGAGAATACAACCATAAATACTATATGAAAATAGACCACAAAGTTGGCGTTTTAATTAAAAAACACAGAGTTTTTTTTTTTTGTCTCATGCACTGTGTGCTGCAGGATTTTTTTTATATGGTGCACACTGACCACACAGACCCATACTCTCACATGTGGGCCTACCAGCTTTCTCCTGCTTGATTTGAAGCCGCTAGAGTTTTTGAGTATATGTACATCAAACACGGTGGCTTGTAAGAAGTATATATACGACCGAAACAGTCAAAGGGTTAAATAATGTCAGCGCATTTGTGGACACACATTAGACCAACCAGTTGGACACGTATTGGATGAGTGACATAATTTGTGTACTCTGGAATATCAGCAAAAATTGAACATTTCCGCTACTTTGAGCTCAATTTCAAGCTACTTTCAGTCCTGAAACCAATTAAAATCATCTGTATTTCTGTAGTATATCTTCCATTCTATCAAATGAGACAAAGAAATCCAGAATACAACCATATAAACCATGTGAAAATGCAATTCAAAATCACTTTTTAAACCAAAAAGACAGTTGCATTTTTTCCATTATGCACTGCTTGCTGCAGGATGTTTTTTATACGATACAACTTACCACATAGACCCATTCTCTCATCTCTAGGCCCAAATTTACTGCTTTCATGATGTTTAGCCAGAT